CTCCTTCTCCCTACCTCGATTTTACCTTTGATGTGGATATTTAACGAGTCCTTTCTCAAACTCTGGTCATTAATTCTCACTCTTTGGGACCTCCACAGCCCTCAGCACTAATCTCCACTCCTCCCCAGCACAGGTTTTTCCCCTCCTAGGCCAGTCATAAAAGCTTGGCAAGCAGAGAGCACCAAGCTCTGCTCCCTTTCCCCTCTTCTTTTGGTCCCCTTTCCAACAGGAAAAAAAAAAAAAGCTCTCCATCCAGCATGTTGTGTCCTGTGGCTGATTCCAAGCCCATTTCAAGGCAGGGAGAACTGATTTACAGAGGACATTTAGAGCTCTCCAGTCCCTTATCAGCAGCACTGCAAGCAGCAGGCAGTGCCCAAGGAAAAGGGATTATTGTGTTGCCATTGTCTCTCAATTTTGGTTCCCTGCACTGGGAATGTGTCTCTTTCCCCCTTTTTCAGTGGGACAAAAGGGAAATAAAGTCGAATTAAAAAAAAAAACCAAAAACACAGAAAGATAAAACTCATAAAAAAGAGTCAGTATTGGATGAATGGAGACATTTTTAGGGCTCTGAATGTATCAGTTCTGTGCTCGTTTATTCCTATGCAAATGGCACTGAGTCACAAGGAGCCTACAGACTTTACTTCTTAATTCTAAATTCTGCCTCACATCCTAAACTTTGTGATCATTCAAATCCCTAAGCTGCTGCTGCTGCAAATAAATCCAACCCTGCAGGTAAACACAGGGGGTTTATCTTTGAGGAGGGTGCAAAGAACAAGCTGCACCCAGAGCCCTTAAACTGCACATTAAAACACATTCAAAGAACACATTAATTGCTTGCAACCAAATAAAGCACATGCAGAGCTTTAAAGCTCCACACTAAGTGGAGATCAGTCTGAGCCACAAAATCTGTGGCTGGTGGGAGGTGCCCCTGCCCATGGATGAGCTTTAAGGTCCTTTCCAACCCAAGCCATTCCATGATTCTGATTCCACAGCCTTCCAGTTCAAAGAGGTGGTTTGGGCTCTCTCTTGACCTGCCAAAAAAATCAGGGCCTTAATTCTGTAGCAACACCACATTTTATAGTAACACTACATTTTACAGTAACACTTGGCCCGGGTAAAACCTCCCAGGAGCACAGAAGGAAAAAGAACAGCGCTTTTAAAAAAAGGGGAATCCTTGACTACGATGAACACAACTCCTAAAGAATTATTGGGAGCTCATTTCCAGCCTTGGAAATGGTGATTAAATCTGACCATTTTCCCCCCCCCCTTGCTGAGGACACTTTCGGGAAGAAGCTCCTGAGCCATTAAAGATGCATGAAATATAAACCAGTCGATGGCCAGGACTCAGCTGGGATGGATGGACACCCCAGGGGCTCCTCCTGACAGGCACTTTGCAATTAGCCCCTCATTCCTAATGAAAATGCCTGCCAGGGCCTTCCTCCTGTTCATCTGCCACGTGATCTGGGCGAGGAGGCAGCAGTGGCACAAAGCCACAGTGTAAATTCAGAGTTTGCAGGGCTTGCTTTGGGGCAGCTGTGCCATCTCGGGGCTCCACCTGGGCAGGAATAATAAGGGAGATTGGGAAAACTCAGCCTGGGTTCCTACTGGAATAGTTATAAATAAATAAATAAGCAGAGTTTTCGCCTAAAATACCAAAAATCTCACTGAATTTTTTCATCTTGTTACTCTGAGCATCCCTCAGCTCCTCGAGTGTTGGGCCAAACACCCTTTTGGTTTCAACTCCCAGCCCAGCTCTGGCCAGTAATTCTGGCCCCAAAATGAACTGCCAAGAGGGTAACGAGAATTAAAGTGACAAAACTGACACGATCACACAAATATTTGCCTTATTTGGGTAACAACAAAAGTGCAGTGAAATATTCAGATCTAACGTACCCAGGCCCTAAGATTTTCAGATAATATGTTAAATATTGGGCCATGTTAAAACATGCACAGGCAGATGGAAACCCCCCATTGTTTACTCCTATTTGTGGTGTGGGTATTTGCATATTTAATTGCTTATTCACCCTGCTCGGATGCTTTTTATTTATGGGTTGTGCTGGTGGTTGGAAATTAAGAGTCCACTTCTTACCAGACTTGATCATTCATCTTCTGGAGGGACTGACTGATTAAATTAAGGAGCAGATGGCTTTAGTTGTAGTTTTTAGTTAGTTTATATTATATTTTTTTCCCTCTCCGCAGTTTCCATGTCCTTTCTCTTGCTTTAAAGTAAACTGGTTTATTTATTTAATTAAGAATTTATATTTCCTTATTAAAGTGCCACCTTTTCTGTTGGTGTAAGCACAGAACCCGGCTCGACACGGTCCAGGTTCATGACTAGAACAGTTCTTAAATGTTTTTCCAGGAAAATCCCTTTTCTTTCTTCCTTTTTCTGTTGGTTCGGTGAAACTTTAATCATTGCAGTTCTTCTCTGGACACAGGAGGGCACTCGAATTCCGTTTTTTGAGCTTCAGTTTTGCCACCAAAAAAAAAAACCAAACAAACAAAAACCAAAACCGCACTTAAACAGGACTTAAGAAAAGTCTCTTTCCAACGACTCAGAACTTCACCTTTTGAAACGCTAAATATGGGGAAAGCTTTTCTTTCAGCGGTCCGAATATTTGTAAATACGCTTCCCTTTCAGCTTATAAAAGACCCGGCAGAACTGGGACTTTTAGTGCACTAAAAATGTGAATGAACCTTAGTCACCCAAATTCTCTCCAGCTCTGATCTGTCGCGGGGTTGATGTGGGCAAGAGTTAAGCTCTGATTTAGCCTCAATTAGAATTTAACTATTTCTCCTGCTCAGGGCAGAGAAGAACAAGGCCCAGCCTGTTCACAATCAACCAACCTAGAGCAATGAAAGAAAGAAAAAGAGAAGGAAACCCTGTTATTTGTGGATGCAAAATGAAATAAAAGCCTTTCTGAAATAAACTCTGCCGGGCTTGCCTTCCTTCACGTGCCCCTGACATTTGCAAACCATTATATTTAATGAAACATCCCCCACCTTCCCCTACTTAAAAACCAGCCACTCCAGTTGCTACTTGTCTGTCTCTGGTGCTTTGCTCTGGTTTTCATTCGCTGCCAAGGGTTTGTTTTACCTGGGTTGGTAAAGGCTGGCCCAGCTTTTTTTTTTTTAGGCAGTTTTTACCTCCCAAAAAATCCAAGTTCTGGGCTCTCAGTTCCACCCCCAGTCGGAGCAGGGAGTGTTTGGAAATCCAGGTGGTGCAGGATCAGCCCTAGAACAACCATCATGGTTACTTGTCTTGGCAGCCCAGTCACACTGCTCCTTCTGTTCAAACTCCAAAGCACTTTCACAGCACATTTAAATTTAAACAAACTTCACTTCCCACCAACAGACTCGGCGTGGATCTTCCAGCACGAAAGGATTTGCAAAAATACATCGATATTTTCTCTTCCCACGTCCTGGATGCCCCCCCTGCCACGCGTTGTGAGCTCTGTGGGAGCCCCCAGCTCTGCCCAGAATACACCAGGACTACCTTGAGTGGCCCCACTCAATCTTTAACCAGAGGAACTGGAGGGTTTTATGCACAAAAACCCCGATTTTCTGTGCCAGCACAACACCTGATCGTGGCGAGTTGTTGCTTTATAAATAACAAATCAGTGAACCAGTTCCAGCTTGCAAATCTTTTCTTGCTTTCCTTAAGTCCTACCCCGAGAAACTCTGAAGGTGTTTTAGTTTTTTTCCCCCATGCCACACTCTGAAGGTGCTGTTTGAGCACTGAAAGAGCACGTTGAAACCTCTCTGGCTGTCCAGATTTTAAAAAAATCAGTGTATTGTACAGCGAGCCCGTGCTGATTGTGATAGCCAGCGTGTCCTTGAGTGTAACTTTCTGCTGGCAAAGTTTGCTTGTTGGAGCAAATTACCCGTAATTAATCCTTATTTATGTTGCTCTGCCCCCCCGGAGGCACCAGCGAAGATCAAGGAAAATAAAACTTACTGGAAACAACAGGTGGGAGAGGACACAGGGTGGAAAACTGCCATGCAAAGCTGGGAATCTGAGGGATCCAAAAGGGCACCCCAGGAGCTGAGCAATAACACTGCCTAATGCCTCTCTACTTGGGATGGAAAGTGATAAAAAATATCATCTCCCCAGATTTTCATGCTTAAAGTGTTAAAATACTCTGAGTTATCACCGTTCTCATTGCTTTCCCCAGAGAGGGAAGGTGTCCTGCCCACGGCAGGGGGGTGGAACTGGGCGATATTTGAGGTCCCTCTCCACCTGGAAACCCTTTCTGGTGTCCCAGCTCCCCAGCACGGCAGGGAAGGAGGGGTGGACGTCACCGAGTGCCAAGCCAGTCTCTGGAACATCGAGTCTCCTGCAAAGTGCAGCGCTGGGACCGCTTCCCAGATTCCTGGAGTACTTCTAGAGCAACCCCTTTGTTTTTTTTAGCTATTAATGGATTACTTTTCAAAACGGAGCAGCCTCGGAGCGACCCGCTCTGGTGGAAGGAAGGTGTCCCTGCCCCGGGGGTGGAACGAGAGGAGCTTTAAGGTCCCTTCCAACCCCAACCATCCCGTGGTTCTGTAGGATCACAGAACAGCCCGAGCTGGGAGGGACCCACGAGGATCAGGCAGTCCCACTCCCGGCCCTGCAAAGGACACCCCAAATCTCTCCAAAAATCCCACCAAACGCTTTTTGGGACAGGCTTTTCGCGCCGTTCCCAGCGCCCGGCGTGACAACCCTTCCCCTGATCCCCAACCTGCGGCTGCCCCCCTGACAAAAACCTGCATTTTAGGGCCATTTCCGCGCCCGGACACTGCCGGCAGTCCCACCAAAGCCACTCCCCGGGGGATTTATCCAGCCTTTTCCCCGATTTTCCCCTCCGCGTCCCGCAGCTCGGGGCGGTGCCGTGCGGGGGGCAGGTGATGCCCGGCGGGGCGGGGAGAGGAGCCGCCTCCTCTTTCTCCTCCTCCTCCTCCTGCTCTTTCTTCCTCCTCCCTGCGCCTCTCCGGGGGAGGCAGCGAAGTTGGGCGTTTGCCGGGTAGTTTTTTCGGGTTTGTGGGTTGTTTTTTTCTCTTTTTTGGGGTGAGTTTGGGAGCGTTTCTCGGAGCATGGAGGAGCAGCCCGGGGTGTCGGGCCCCCGACAGCAGCGCGGGGAGGTGGCGGGCGAGGGGCTGCGGTGACCGAGATCCCCCCTCACCCCCGAGCCCATCCCAGCGCTGGGAAACCCTCCGGAATGGCCCGCTGGATCCCCACCAAGCGGGAGAAGTACGGGGTCGGTGAGTGCCAGACGGGACCCCCCACCCCGAGCACCCCTTCCCTCCCTTCCTCCCGTCCTTCCCTTCCTCTCCCCGCGGGCATTTCCAGGGATCCCCTGTCCTGGGGCATCCCGGGATTCTTCTGCGCGCCCGGGACTCGCCGCTCTCAGGTGTTCACTCCCCGAATCCTTAGGGATGGATGGAGGGAGGGATGGAGGTGTGTGCCCAGCTCGCACCCGGGGAGCTCCAGGAATCCCTCTGTAATTTTTGCCTCTCCATCCCGATTTACGCTGGAGAGAGAGCTCCTGGCACGGCACTAAAAACGCCTCCTGCCATCCCCAAAGGACGTGGCTCCGAAAGGTGGTGGCAGGATGAGGAGGTTGTAAGGGGCAGATTTAGGGTTGTGGGTGACAGCTTTGCCAGGGGCTGGGAATGCTGACAGAGGGTGAGGAGCGGTGAAAGCTTGGCTGGAAGTGTCCAAGGCCACGTTGGACAGGGTTTGGAGCAACTTTGGGCTAGTGGAAGGTGTCCCTGCCCATGGCAGGGTGGCACTGGATGGGATTTAAGGTCCCTTCCAACCCCACCCATTCCAGGATTTCATGACTGACACCTTGCACCTTCTGCCCTGTCCCCCTTGATGTTTAAAAGGAGGGTTTTTTGCTGCTGGCTGGCGTTTCTCTAGGAGGAAATAACCCCTTGGTGTTGCCGATAAAGTTCTGCTTTTCTTGAGAGTTTTGACAAATTGAAACCCACAGTTTTGAGGTTGGCTGGGGAGAGTTGGGCAGAGAACAATCGACAGGAAACCACTAATGACACAAACAGCTTCTGGTAGTTCGTTTTAATGAAGGGTGATCTTCCCTGCCCCTTGCGCTCAGCAGTGGATTTCTTGATGTGAGAAGAAATTAGTAATTTCATGCTTGCAAAGTGGCAATTCCCCAAACCCCCTTGAGGTTGTTCAGTCCCTGAGTGTGAAGGTGAAAAGCCTCATCTTGCACGGTTTTCACAGCGTGAATTTGAGTGGTATTTACATCGAGTGCAGGGAGGCAGCTCCCTCCTCTGAGGACTGTGTGGCTTAAAGCTGCAGGGATATTCCACCCAGCACAGCCTTATCTAGTTTCTCCAGGTAACTGGGAGGGTGTGGAGGGTTGTGCACCCTGAACTTTGCTTCTTTCTGGGCAGGGAACAGCCCACAGGGTTTATACATGGCAATGTCTGCGTGGCTTGGGGAGGTTGAGCATCTGCACTTCCCAAACTTTTGCTGTTGCAATCAGGTAAACTCTGTCCTGGCTGCTTTGATTGGCTCTGCTGGGTTATGCTGGGGTTTTTTTTTCCCAGCACACCTCTGAGCAGGGCTGTTCTTACAACCCACCATGGCCTTGGGCAGTGGGATGAATCACAGGCACTCCTCTCTCCCTTTCTCTTGGCTTCCGGGGTGAGTTTTTTTTTTTCTCTGTGCTGCCCTGAGCCAGCTGCTGGTTGTGACAGCTCCTCTCTGGCAGCCAGCGCTGCTGAGGGTGATCCCCAGGCAGGAAGGAGAAGGATTTCTGCAGTGCCTGGCTCTGTCAGGCCGTGGGATGTTGTGAAAGGGCAAAACCACAACTTCATTCTGTCCAGAAGAGAAGAGAAGACTGGGAGGGGATCTTATCAATCCACACAAATGTCTCCAAGGATTGTCAGGGGATGGTCCCAGACTCTGCCCAGTGACAGCACAAGGAGTGATGCTCATAAATTGAACCCCCACAAGCTCCACCTCACCAGGAGGCAGAACTTCTCTCCGTGGAGGTGGAACAGCTGCCCAGGGAGGGTGTGGAGTCTCCCCTCTCTGGAGACATCCCAGCCCCACCTGGACGTGTCCCTGTGTCACCTGGGCAGGGGGGTTGGGCTGGGCGATCCCCAGAGGGCCCTCCCAACCCTAAATATCCTGTTTGTTGGGGATTTCTGCCTTAGGAACCGGTGGAGAACTGCTTGCCTTTATTTTAATCACAGCCCTGGAAGTCATGCCAATGCAGTAAGAAATTCCAAGAAGTAAACAATGTGATTCAGTGTCACTTGTCTGATTTTTTTATTCCTTTTTTTTTTTTTTTTTCCCCCCCTTCAGAATGGTTTGTGTCCTGGATTGCATTTTACAGGTTCCTGAATTGTGGGTTCAAACTGATTTGCTGCCTCTCAGTTTTGCCCTGAGCTGGTTAAAAGCCCTTTCCCGTGGCTGGCACAGATGGCACACGGGCCAGGTTTGGCGTGGCAGACAGCAGGGAGGGCAAAGTCGGGAATGGCAGCACTTTTTAGGGAAATGTGAGAGATTTTGTGAGAGACAAATGGCTTAGAGCTTCTCACTTGCAGTGAGTTTTCACCCAAGTGACAGATGGGCCTTTGGAAGCTGCAGCCTTGTGAAGGGAGCAGCTGATGGGCAGCATCTTGTCTCTTTGAGCAACAGGATTGTCTGGGTCTTACTGAGCTTCCTTGCAACAGGCTTGACCTCATTTAGGAGTCAGAGTTACTACCTGGTGCATTTTCTTGGACAGCTGATGAGTTTTGGGGCCAAACTGAAGGAAATGAGCTAATTTGTCAAGTGCTCCTCTGGAAAATAAATTGTTGTTTGCAGAATGCCTTTCACTCTGCTCTGAAGGGAAGGATACCTGAATTATTCTCTGTGATTTTTAACTTCCATTATCTACTTGTTTTAAAATTATTAACTTGGAGCATGAGGAGTTTTCAGCTGGGGTGGGAATGATGGAATCCAGGTACAAGTGCTTTGTGTGTCACCTCAGCAGGACAGGAACAGGACGTGAAGTGTTTGTTCCTAGCAATGCAGCTTGATCTCTTGAGTCAATACACAAGTGTGGTCCTCCACAAGCAGAAATTGTTCCCTGAAGTTGTGTTGGAAGAGCTTTGGGATGTGAAGACTGGGATAGTTTGGGGTTTTGGGGAAGGTGGTGGGATGGTGAAGAGGGTGGGAAGCACTGGGAGATTCCATTCCCCGAGGGAGTGGCTGGAGCTGTGTCAGGGCAGGGTTAGGCTGGATTTTAGGAGAAGGTTCTTCCCCCAGAGGGTGGTTGGGCACTGAACAGGCTCCCCAGGGTTTGGGCACAGCCCCCCAAAGCTACCAGAGCTCCAGGAGCGTTTGGACAACTCTCTGTGGGACAGGGTGGGATTTTGGGGTGTCTGTGCAGGGCCAGGAGCTGGACTGGATGATCCTTGGGGGTCCCTTCCAGCTCAGGAGATTGGATGATCCTACAGCCCTCATTTCTGGGGTAGTTTTGGCTGTTTCACACAGCTGGGGAAGAACCAGCCAGATTATCATGCTGGACCTCTGACAGGTAATTCCCCCCTAACTGTGGTGGTGGCCTCTCCAGCCCATCCCGTTTTTCCCCGCTCAGGGCACGGGACTGCTCTGGTGGCAGGGAAGTGTTTGCTCTGCCCAAACACCACGTGCTGGTTTGGTCACAATCAGCTGCCTCACCTCTCAGGAATGGCAGCAATTCCTCAAATGTGCCCCAGTGCCTGCCAGCCAGGGGGGGTGACTGATGGCAGGGGAGATGCAGAGGGTGCTGCAGGGTGAGATCCTCCTGCTCAGCCTTGGATTTGGGAGCGTTTCTCCGGGCCAGCAGGTCTTGGCTCCGTGCTCCAGTTCCACCCACCTGCAGAGCTGTCTGTGATCAAAGGCTGTCAAATCAGAGCAAAATTCACATTTGTCTCGACTTGCTGCTTGCCTTGGGCCTGCCATTCCTGCAGGATGCCTCTGATTTGGGGCTCTGTTGTGCAGCAGGAGGCTCCAGAAGGATGGAGGAGCCCATTCCAGCTGCACCTTCCTAGTGCCAGAATCACCCTCTGACTAACCACTCGTTTTTCCTGCCATTTGCTTTATTATGATTTGTGGCTGAAAAGTCATCATGTTGATAGAAATAGAAGATTTCCAACAGGGAAAAGCAAAATCTTGGCACTGCTGACCCCCAGAAAGTTTTGTCCCTTCAGAGACACTGGGAAGAGTATTTGTATATATGTATTATATGTTTATGTACACTTTACTTCCCAATTTTTATTGCTGTCTCTGCAGTTTATTTGATGTGAAAGTTGCCTGTGCTACTTTTTGCTTCCATAGCCCTATTTTTTTTTTTAATCCACTCTGTCTTCTCGGATTTTTGGTGATTTCTGCTCTGTTCCTTAAGTCATCCCCCATGAAACTAATCCTGTGGACTTCAAAGGCACCACTGACGTGAACAAGACTTGTAAAGTTGTTCCTTATCTTATTTCTTCCTTTGAAAAGAAGTATCTTTCCAAGTGTCTGGTGACTTCTGGGTGCTTTAAATCCTGGGGGTCCACCTTGAGACACCACCAGAGTGTTTAGGAACTATCCCAGTGTTCATCTTAAACCCTTTAGTGGGGGCTCTAAATCCTCTCTTGAGGTCTCCAGAACTTCTGGTTGCCTTCTGGAGTTTGGGCTGAGCTTTGTCCTGCTGATTAGTTGGGGTTTAATTGTTCTGAGCTGAAGTCCCACCTTTCCCCCCAACGAGCTGGGTGTGCCACTGCTGCTGAATTTCACACCAATGTCTTGATCGTTTCTTGTGGTTTCCCTTCTGGCAGGGGGGCTGTACTTGCCTGCAGATGGGAACTCTAGAAGGGAAAAGCAGAATAAGAAAAGTTCCTGAACTGAGAAGAACTCATTGACCTGTTTAACGTGTAGAAAAGCAGTGAATGTGTGATGATCTTTCTGTATTATTCAGATTGTAATCGTTCATTCATAGCCCTCCTGTGTGTTCAAACTTGCTGAAGGTGCTTTGATTTGAAAATCAGCGTTTTTTGCTGTTCAGTTTGCACTTCATGGGCTGGTAGGACACTGCTCCCAACCAAGTGCCTTGAAGGAAGATAAAACCCTGCTTCTGCTGAAGACTCAGCATGGCCAAGCTTCAAACTCCCTTGCTACCAGAATGAGGTGATGCTCTCAAGTCCAGTGCTTTTAATTTATAACTGAATGCCCGGAATCCTGCGATGAATTTGGGTGCATCTGCCAGGAAAAATGTGCT